CTTGGTCTAGAACCGAGAACCGAACCATACCCGTCGGTTCTTGATTCAAATACCCGTTCGGGTATTTAATTTGAGAAGAACCGTCGGGTTCGGTTCAATCGGTTCGATTCGGGAATTTTATCCAGCCCTAGTGTTATATAGACATTCGACTAATTCTCTTAGCATTTGTATGCTCGACTCTTCAATTTTGTAATTCGATTTTCTTGTGTAGAAACGACACTACAGTAGAATAACAGATTTGAATAAAATTGAGGTCAATTTGATTAAGTCGATTTTGAACCGAATATTAGAAATAGGAAAATCATATTTTGTGGTTTGAACTAAATTATCGAGTTAACAAATTTATTTAGAAAAAATAAAATAATTTTACTTATTTAAAATAAATTAATTAAAAAAATTACTAAGATTCGGTTCTTATTCGGTTCTTCGGGTTTTGGTCTAGAACCGAGAACCGAACCATACCCGTCGGTTCTTGATTCAAATACCCGTTCGGGTATTTAATTTGAGAAGAACCGTCGGGTTTGGTTCGGGTTCGGTTCGATCGGTTCGGTTCGGGAATTTTATCCAGCCCTAGTGTTATATAGACATTCGACTAATTCTCTTAGCATTTGTATGCTCGACTCTTCAATTTTGTAATACTTGAAGTTCTCACTGAAAAATGTCTATGTAAATTCAAATATAAAACTAACAGAATGGAGAGTCGAATATCAAGAAAAATGAATTTAAATGAAAATTCAAACTCTACAATTTATAAAACTTTAGATAATTCAAGAATAATTTTTTCACTCGTAAGATACTACATTCTTCTACTCTAAAAATTCTTTTGTTAACAAATTATATTATAATCTCTTTACACGGGTCGGGTCACTATGGTTTAGTGATGTGAAACATGCTAACTGCAGCTCAAACAAACAATTTTAGCTTATTTTAGTCCTTAATTAATATAAAGTACATAAAGTGCTTTTTTAGCTTATTTAAAACAAAGCACAAAAAGATATACAAACTAGAAGCTTCCTCAAGGTTATATGATTTAATATCTAGGCCATCACTCGCCATCTGATTGGTCCATTCTTCAATTTTACATCACGAGCCCTTGACCCACAAAACCGACGCAAATGGACTGTGACTGCGACTGCTCTCCAAATTATTTTTTTACTGAAGTTTTTATTTTTTTTAAAAAAAATGGAAAATTAATATGGAAAATGAGAACAAAAATTTTATTTAACTCAGCTTATTTGAAGTTAAATATATCAATTTTTTGTAAGATCAGCGGACTTGTATATGTCATGACAATAAGCACAAAAATCTTCTCAATTTTTAATTGATTAATTACTTAAAAAAATAATAATAGTAAGTTGTGAGGAAGATTTCAAAAGATATTGGAGTTTTGATGACTTAAAAAATATAGAAATACACATTTAAATTTGCCCAAAAATCTTTAAGACTTACACTTTACACACTCAAAAGTTTATCGTTGATCAAATTTAGCTAAAATGAGGTGAGCCCTGAGACAATGTATTTTCGATCAATTGCATAATTTCTAAAGAAAATAATCGCAACCTTGGTGTGAAACACTCAAACTTAGGAAAAACTACAACCTTGGTGTTAAAAATAAACAAAATGGTCGAGTGGCAAGTTTTAATTAGCAATCTCATTTTGATCTCAAATCCTTTTGTTTTGGTTGCATGATTTTCCCAGCGATAATAATATCTCTTTTAAATCGTGAGATAATGCTCATATATCCAAGTTTATAAAAACGGGCTCACCTGATAATTTGATGAAATTTGTTGTACAACACTAATTATGAAAATATAACTACAAGTTGAAGATTGAATATGCCCTTGTTTAAATTATGGACACTAATTTACTGTTCGAAGAATATGTTTGAGTTGTTATGAGACTGGGTTGAATGCCCTATTGGTCAACCAATTTTGAGCAAATTTACATTTGTGTCATTCATCTTCAAAGCCGTTTTATCAGAGTATCTAACTTCAAATTTACCTATAAATTTAGTCATTCTATCTATTGACTCATTGGACCTTGTCGACCTGGATTTTAAAACTGCCAAATGATTAACATGAACGTCCATATCATGCAGAACAATACATATAATCCATCTTTAAAAGTAATTTAAAAAAAAAAAAAGGAATTTAAAAGTACATTTTTACATCAATTTTATCGTCCAAGTCAATATATTACGTTAATTAAACAAACAAGAATTAACAAGTAAATCAACATAAAAACAACTCCGTACAAAGTTGGATAACCCAAAATTCATTCAACACTGAAAGATCAATGTCTAAATCTAATAGACAAACTAATTTAAGAAAGGCCGCGAGACATTACTTCTAAATGAAGATGGTGGGTTGTGGGCTCCATCGAAAAAAAATAAAATAAAATAAAAAAACCTTCTTTTTGTTTTGGACCCCCATTACGTGGCGGCAGTCGGTCCGGCGTGGGCTCAATTTTGATTATTAAAGCACAGGCCTACTTTTTACTGGGCCCACTCTCTTCATCTAGGCTTCTATTGGGCCGACACGTGGGTCACTATTTTATTAAAATATCCAAGTGCTTGTGCTTGCAGTCAAGTTAATCCAACCCTTTACTTTTGCACTGTACGGGGCCTGCGGTTAAGGGAATAGGCCTTGTAAAATATTATTAAATGTCATTTTATCATAATTTATATTTATCACAGGGATAAAAGTAAAGCAAAAGTCATAATTGTTATATGAGTGTCATATTGGGCCCACAATTTGAATGACGTGGCGGGTGGGCTTTCCAGAACTGAATTTAAAATTTATTTATGACATATTATTACAAAGTACTAAGAAAGCTTGACTACTAAAAACATATTGGTTTACATATTTATGAGCTTATGCATTATTTTCAACAACCCATTATATACAAACCTTTAATCATTAT